CAACCAAACCAAACCAACCAAACCAACCAAACCAACCAAACCAAACCAACCAAACCAACCAAACCAACCAAACCAAACCAACCAAACTAAGTCAACCAAACCAAACCAAACCAAACCAAATCGAACAAAACGATACCAAACGATCATAGACCGACGTGTAACGTGTGACATACAAAAACCTTTCCTACATATCCACGCGTGCACGCGCGCATACAAATGCATTCATCCACTTGCGCATGCTTACGCAAACAGATGCACACGCATGTGCTTGCATGCACGCAGGATGCGCACAGGCTGGGGCAAACCTAACACTGTTCCTTGTGCCTCTGCTCTTGCAATTGGGGAACGGCTCGATTGGTTTTTGCTCTACTGTGGTAAGTTTCCCTGATCGACAGTATGGTTGACGATCCTCTTTCCTTTTTTTTTCTTTACAGCGGAGCATCTACGAAAAGGACGGCAGCGTAAAGCTGGGCACGAAAGCGCCCATCTGGATCCCGGAAACAAGAGTGACTATGTGCATGATGTGCACGTGTGACTTCGGCGTGAGGTCACGACGACATCACTGCCGTGCGTGCGGCAAGGTATGTCTTCGTTCCGTTCTTTCTTTTTCTGTTTATTAGTGCTCCGTATGTTCTGACGCAGGTGACAAGCGGAGCATGTGTGTGACCCAGCATGCTTGCGAAAATGCTTGGTGCAGAATCGTCTGTTACGACCGCGTCGGCACTTAAGATTTCATTTTTTTGATTGTTACCGACTGCAGATTTAATTGCATATTAATTTTTTTGAGCTTTTTATTAGCAATCAGCAGTGAAATTAGACAACCTAAGTATAAGTTTGGTGTATGGTTATATACTTAAAAAGGCACGAGAGGAGCTTTTTCTCCAAGGAGTTATTTTAGCATTCATCAACAATGCAGATTACATAGCCATAGTGGGTTTTTGAGATGTGAGCAACTGAAGCCCTTCGTCAGTGAGAAAATAGGGACAAGTAACTGTGTGGCATTAAGTGTGTGTTAAGTGTGGGTGTAAGTGTGACATTAGGCATACATCTATTGTGATTCTTATTTAGTATTTAGATTAATAATACCAATAATTATTGACAGTCTATTGTCTGCTATGTCTATGAGGTAGATGTATCACAAATCAGCAGAAATGCTATGTAGATAATAACCTTGTGTGGCTTTTCTCTGATTCCCACCAGGTGGTGTGCAGCACCTGTGCAAGCAACAAGGCACCATTGCTGTATCGCAAATACCAGAGTGCGCGAGTGTGTGGATCATGCTACGACAAACTATGGACAGGTACATGGGCTTAATGTTTCATATTAATAATGATATCCCAACAGAGGTTAGGCAGACTTTCATCTCTTTAGACTATTCAATATGTGAACACTCAAATGATAAATAAATGGGTAGATATTCAAGCGGACACATGAATATATGGTAATGTGATATGCAGGTATTAGATGCAGGTATGTGATAAATTTGGCAAAAGAAAGCATAATTGGACATGCTTGCAGGCACCTATTGACGGGTGCATATGTGTGAATAGCAGAAAATGGACAGCAGGTCGCTATTGGTAGACCTGCCACTATGTGTTTTAAATGCTGCTGTGCTGATGGCTGTTTCTGCAGATTACGCGCGGATGAGGGATGAGGATGTGCGATCATCTGTCTATGAGATGAAAGACGACATCTACGGCACGGTGGGCGAATGCTACGGCCTTGGCCACGATGACCTCAGGACTAGGTTTAAGAAGGCCGACACAAAGAAGAAAGTTAGGCACATGCCACAGCGGTTGAAAGAGGTAAGGCAAGAAAAAGCGGGTGGCTGCGTGTTGAAATCCTGTATCTGTTGGTGGTTGGCTGGGCATCCAGTTAGCTGGTGTCCCCATTCATGAGGTGTTGTGCATAGCTAGTTCACTCAGATCAGACTATGGAAATCCGGGCACGTATTTCGCACACTCAGCTTGACTCTTCCACGCTCAGGTGTGTGCGAACGATGCCGGGTCTGCAATCAGCGGCTACCTCCACAAGCGTGTGAAGAAGGGGAAGTGGCAGCGTCTATGGTTTGTGGTGAAGGACAAGGTTCTCTACTCCTATAAAGCTTCTGAGGTGAGTAGGAACAGTACTGCATCCAAGCAGGCGGCGAGTTAGTAATGGAAGCAGAAGATTGTTGGCAATAGCAGAAGATTATTGCAAATAGCAGAAGATTATTGCGAATAGCAGAAGATTATTGCTAATAGCAGAAGATTATTGCGAATAGCAGAAGATTATTGTGAATAGCAGAAGATTATTGCGAATAGCAGGAGATTATTGC